TAAGGGAAGTCAATTTATTTTCATTTAACATAAATGCCAGCACAGTGGCAGGTAACTTTTTCATCAAAGTGACACAATGCAGAAAAATAGAAGCTGGATATTAGCTTAAATGAAGATAGATTCCAGGGTGGACTCAACTTAAAATAGAAAAAGAGATCCATTTAGCTTAAAAAAGGAATAACTGAGGGACACATAAGTATTGAGGGTATGAAAGAAAATATTTAATACATTTTTAATATCTTAAGTTTACTTTGAAAAATTATATTAATAAGAACTGGGTGTGGCCATGTGCTCCAGTCATCCCAACTACTTGGGAGACTGAGGCAGGAGAATCATGAGTCTGAGACCAGCCTGGGCAATTTAGCAAGATACCAACTTGAAAAAAAATATGCTAATACACCAATATAAAAGTGCACGAGGTTGAAACAGAACAGAAATGTATAGACAAAATCCTGGAAATTCTGAACCTTTCAATTTAATTCCCTTTCCCTCCCTAGAAGTATAAAGGTTACAACATTGATATAAGAGTGTTTTTGTAATTGGAATGATAATCCACATAAAACAAAAGTATCCAAAGTATAAATATTTGATTCAATCAACTATCATAAATGCCTACGTAATTACCCCTCTAAGTCAAGAAACATGATCATACCAGTCCCAGAATGGCCCTTATTTCAACCAATCTTTGCCAAAGACTATCTTGTCTCAAGAGAAACCAATATTTACACTCCAAACACTGGAACACATTTACCCTGTTTTAAGTTTAATAATTAGAACCATGTTTTTTTTATATCTGTCTCTCTTCTTTCTATTCCATCTTACATTTGTGAAAATCTCCATGTCTCACTGGGTGGCTGTAGTTCCTTCATTTAATCTCTGTATGATATATCACGTCTGTATGTCTCAAATACACCATAATTCCTTTATCCATTGTTCTGCTGTTGAACATTTGGGTTCCTTTTCAATTCTGCTGTTTTCCTTCATGCAACTATGAAAATTTTTGCCCATATACATGCACATTTCTGTCAGATATCTGCCTAATAACATCCCTTACTCATAGGGTACACTTGTGCTCAGCTTTAGATGACAATGCCAAACTGTTGTTCAAAATGGTTGTACTAATTGAAACTTCCATCAGTTATACAGGAGAATTGCTGTTGCACCAGATTCTCATACATAGCACAATCAGCGTTTTGAATTTTAGCCATTCTGGTGAGTGTGTTGATGTACTTCATTAATTCATCAGGACAATAGTGTTCCTGTGAACACCATTTGGGAAACAATAATCTAAAAAGCGAGGGATAGAGCACAAATCAGAACTTTTTCACAGGATCTGTAGAAATAATGAAAAAGCAGTTGGCTATGAAAATTTTAAAATCAAAGACCTTAAGGAACCAGAAGCTGAAGGGATGAAGAGATCAACCCAAAGAGCCTAACGGGAAGTGTTAGCTCTACAATGTTCTGAATATTTCTTATTTATGTAGGATATGTTTACAAAGTACGATTAGATCCCACTATACTTCCAGGAGCTTTATGTTTGCAGCCGGGAACTATTTTTACCTAAATCTCCCCAGGATCCACTTACTGAAGACCTGAACATTATCTGTCATTCTGTCTGCAGAAGGAAAGAGCAAAAGACACAGGGAGGTTAGCATTATAACATCCCCCTTCTGGTCACTTCTCCATTTTTCTATTCAAAATGACAAATTCTGACCTTCTAAAGTCAGTTTCTCTTAACAACGCGGAGGAAAGGTCTCTTTGTTGGCATTGACTTATTATTTCTTCTTGCTATGAGGTATACTGACACAATAATTACAGCTTTTCTTATTTTGTTCAATCCAATTCTTATTAAAATGTGTCTTAATATTAACCACCCCCCAAAATTAGCTCCCTAGAAGACACTAATGGGGAACTGTTTTGGGTATCCAGCGTCCTCAAGGTGGGTGTTAGAATGAATATTCTACTAAGTATTATTTCTAGTGGCAAAGTTAGCGTGCAGTGCTTGGGACTGGAACAATTAATGAACATTTAGTTAAATGATGGTGAACAGGGGTAATTTGTCAGTGACTAGAGAAGTAAATGTTGAAGTCATTGGAATATAGATATCTCTTATAATTGAAAATTTATCCAATGACACAATCTGATATCATAAATTTGCATTGAATATGTGCGTAACAGTGGCCTAAATTATGGAAACTTACTTTTTTATGATCGTCCACTCCTAGCAACTATTTGTAATATAGGAGCTATCTCACTCTCTTATAATGCTTGTGTGTTCCAATGATATGTGAAATAGTGACTGGTATGTTTTTGCTTCCCTCCATATTTCATTGCTTCTTCCTCTGTAAATGTGGATAACATATCTGTGGGTGAAGGTTAAATGAATATTTTTTAAAAAAACATTTACAATGGTGACTGATACATGTTACTAATAAATGTCAATTTCATTACTATTTTTACTATTGTAAATATTTAAAATATTATCTGAGGCTTTTTCTCCAGATCCCAACCTCCAACCCTTAATTCTGGCCAAATTCCAAGGTTATTATGGTCTAAGTGAAATTATCATCAGAAAGAGTCAAAATAATGATCATATTCTTGTGCTTTAAATTTAAAAGGTTTCAATCTAGATGATAGAAGATGAATTGTGTCCCTTCCCTCTGAAAACATATGTTGAAGTCTTAATTTCTAATACCTCAGACTATGCCCTTATTTAGAAATAGGGTCTTCACAGAATTAAGCTAAAATGAGATCATTAGGGTCTATCCTCACTTGAAATAATGGGTACCTTATAAAAAACAGAAATTTGGACATAGTGATAGATATGCACAGAGGGAGGATTATGTGAAGAGATGCAAGGAAATCATCATGTATATGTGGAAATATGTGGCTACACTATCACAAGCTAAGAAATGTCAGAGGCTATCAGGAACTGAAAAAGGAAAAGGAAGTATCCTTCCCCTTTCGGAGGTGCATGTGTCTTCTGATATCTGATTTTGACCATCTAGCCCCCAGAGCTGTGAGACAATAAATTTCTGTGCTATAAGTTATCCAGTTTGGTACTTTGTTATAGCAGCCATAATATACTGATACCTTGAGTATAAGATAGAAAGATTTAAGAGGAAAACTTGTAGATCCAATTCATTATGACATAGAAAGAAAAATCCAAACAAGCTCTTCTGACTGGAAAGAGAGTTCGTTTAGAAGCAAAATAACCCGACCCAAGTGGATTCTCTGATACAGGAACTGTAGGTATTTTACTCAGTAAAAAGTTGGAAAAATGAGAAGTATGGATATTTTGGTGGAGCAGAGATTGCACTTCACCTGCCTAAAGCCCACAGAGTGCTTTATATCCCTTGGATTGGAAACAGTAGAAAAGAGATGGCTGCCTGGGAAAGGGAGGCGGGCTTTAATCATCCAATTACAACCTGGAGGGAGTGATGCTGAAAAGATGCTACTTGTTTTTATTCCCTCCATTGCCAAGGCCAGGATCAAAAGTTAGCTGAGAGGAAAGGCTGTTGAATCCTGAGATAAATAATAGTTGTAAATAAAGGATGTTGCCCTGTAAAGATGAAGGAATGTTGTTCTGGGGCCAAATGGAAGTGTGGGTGCATTGTAGATGTGGAGGGATGGTAGTGTCCATGGATCAGACCAGATTCTAGACCTCAGTGAATGTTCACATAGGAAGGGGAAAGGCCAGGGATCACACTGTGAATTCTCCATCTATGTAGGTTTTCCTGAACTTACATCAGTCTCCATGAGAAGAGATGGAAAAGGAAAATCATGCACGGGTTTAGTGTAAAGCTGAAATCATTGGGAAGAGCCTCAAGTGATTCACTTTGACTAGACTTTATTTTTCTGCCATCAAGCAAAGTGTGGGCTATAATTAAAAAGTAAGTAAATAATGTTTCCCAAGCACATTGCTGAAAATATGTTGTCAGCTATATTTGTCTCTCTTTGTTACAAGTAAGCTGCTTAAAATGACAGACACTGTATGTTTCTATCTTTGTCTTCAAAGCTAATATAATTCTTGACTTAGTTGTTGTCTGTCCATGCAGTCGTTCCATCAGTACAACTGTATTTAGTTTTTTTTTTTTTTTTTTTTTGTAAATTATAGTTGTTTGCTTGAAAATAAATTGAAAAGTCAAATGAAAAAATCACACTTGGATTGAGAAATCTCTTAACAGGTAAAAATTTTCACTTTCATTATGTAGTGTATGTTTTAATATCATTATAAAATATGTTTTCTTAAGTATTTAAAGACCTACATATTAAAATTCATCTGAATTATCTTCTTTAGGATGAATTCCAAAAATTCCTAGTGTTGTACAAATACACCTTGTTATAACCAATGATCTAAATTAACTAGGCTTTACCAAGGTAAAGGATATTTTTGTAGTTTCTGGTAAACATTTTAACATAAAACAACATAAAAAGACTCTTCTCGAAAATTTATTATATTTTTTTTCTAAAAGTCCCAGTGACAAACTTTGAAAATAATTCACACGATGAAGAGAAAATATTTTCAGAAAATCAAAGAAGGCCATAGAAGAGATCTTACAAAACTCTACATACAAGATATAAGGTAGCCTATAAGTATCATTTCTGAATAGAAATTTGAAGATTAAAAAAAAAACCTTTTAGCAATTTATCAGTGAAAGAAGTTTCCAAATTTATAAAACTTAAAAAAAAAATCTGCTAGTGATTTTAAATAACTGGGTATGCAAAAGGGTCTCTTTGTACATACTCAGGTGTGGCAGACAGACTACATTTTTTGCAACTTGGGAAGTGTTACCTTCCTTCACCTCACTGCTGTCATCTTGTTCACGACGTTTCCACACAGGTTTACCTTCTCCCTAGATAGAGAATAATGGGAGTGTTCTGCCTTTTGTTCGATTTTGCAAGTCTGCCAGTAGATGGCGGTACCACGCTGGGTGCTGCCAGCCATTCTTTTTCTTTCTTTCTTCTTCTTCTTTTTTTTTTTTTTCAAAGCTGTTTTCTGATATATGTTGGGTACCATAGAGTGAATCTCAGAACAGGAAGCGGAGGCATAAGCAGAGAGGATTCTGGAAAGGTCTCTTTGTTTTCTTGTCCACAGAGAAAGCAAGAAAAAAATTGTAATTAATTTGCAAGCCTCTGTGGCCAAATATCTGAAGAACTGCAGGGGAAGGCGTGTTACAGTCTAACCATCTTGGATGCTGGGCTTTGTTGTGCTCTGATTCCTAAGGCTTTCTATCAGGTAAGCTGACAAAACATTTAATTTTTTGCACCATGTAATCTAGCAAGCAGGTCATTTTTCTCATTTTAAAATCATCTTCGTGTTATTTTTAATACAAGGTTTAAATATAAATTACAAGAACCAAATGCATCATTTGATGTGTAAACTGCTTACTATTCTTTATCTTTCAAAAGAAATAGAGCCTGTGTCTATAAATGGTGACTTACAGTACAGACTAGGCATTAATGATCTTGTGTTTTTGAAACATGCAGATGCTTATTATTCATTGTATTCAGAGAAAATATAGTTTATTACACTTAAAGCAAACCTAATGGATTTTATGGCTGTATCTCACCTATTTAAATGTTCAGTGTGTCCTGTTTCTTTATACATCAATGTACAGTGACATTGGAGCTATATTTTTTTATGCTTTAGTCTTTTATTTAGTAGCTTTGGAGAGGCCATGCATATAGGAGTGATAACAATACAGAGGTGCTTGTCTGTTAGAGACACATTATCATTTTTCTCCAAAATCTGTTTTTATAGAGGAAAGGAGATCACCGATACTAATCATTACAAAGAAATTTAATCTTCAATAATAAAATGATCTCTATGTGTTCCATAATGTGCTATTTCCTTTTCTTTTAGTATATTCATCTTATGTTAAATATTTACCTTTTAATTCACTGATTTAAAGGGTATTATATCTTCTGGGTAAATAGTCCCATAAGCTTGATATATTTCTGTTTATTTTTCTCTATGTGGATTTAATGATTGGTTATTATTTACCAGGAAGAGCCATTTAATCCAAAAGGACAATAATTTATCTATGGTCTATATTTTCTATAGGTGTCTTTAAAATATTTTTATACCATAACCATCAGTGTTTCATTCAGCCAGCAATTATATATTTAGAATAGAAAATTGTGGACAGAAATTCTGTGGGTAATAATTGAAATACAAGTTTTTTAAATGATAAAGGCTTTTTAATGTATACAACAGGTAGTGCACTGTCACTTATGAGGACAAAGATAAAGGCATACGTGCTTGTAGGAATTTGTATGGAAGCGTCTCATGGCATTTGCTCCAAATAGTGTCTGCCCTTTATGAAATAAAGACCTATGATTTCAACCTGGGTTTCTGGTCACTGCTAGCTGAAAGGGCCTTAAAAATAGAATTGGAGGTGTCTGGACCATAATTTCTAATAATATGGTAAAAAACTGAGATCTCAAGTAACAATTTACATTGAATGGCACTAACACTCCCCCTAAAAGCATTTTAAAATAGTGATTGCCTCTGTGGAAAGCCCTGGTCTTGTGTATTTTAGAAGAACTCCTACTATAGGACATAAAGAAAACTGTTTCTTTGGAAAGGGTTCTTAGAAATAAATGTGAATTGGCTTGAGGGTATTGTGCTGTACAACGTGCTGCCCCACAGGTGACTGATGTGAGTAACTTTGTTCTCCGTAAACAACAGAGCTGGTTGATTGAGGTGGTTTACATTTATGAATGGGTGTTTGCATTTTGGCCCTGAATGTTGCCCTTTTCTCCCTTAGTTGCAATAATCTCTTGGTTGTTCATCTGTATGTGTAGTCAGAACGAAAAAGCAAATGCACCAGACAGACTCTTCACAAAATGTGCCATTTGAAATTTTGATAGAAATTAAATGACATATAAAACAAGTTTGATTATAAGAATCTATCTGTGATTTCATTTGTAAGGTCAAGAATGATAGTGTCATTTTTTCATATAATAGAAACAGATTGGGCTCTGAAGTGGAGTTTTGAGGATCTGGTTCAAGTTCTGCTACTAATGAGCTTTGTTGCCTCAGAAAAGACACCATGTATCACTGAAGTACATTTTCCTTCCTGTAAAAGATGGGAATTGAAATCAAAGATAATATACGAAGACCCTTTTCCTTTTAAAATTCTTTTATTTCTCCCTTAAATATAATCTAAGACACATTTGGCTCTCACTGAGCTGCATATTACAATGAAAGGTGTAATAAGCATGAGGATAGAGAAACAGAGATGTTTTGGTGGTCCTTGGTCAGTTTCTTCTGTGTGGAAAGAAGTAGGGAGCAATATGGAGAAGTGGTTAAGAGAAAGAGTGTGGCGGGTTGAATCCTTGCTCCAGTGTTCCTTGACAAAAACGTTTAAGCTTTCTGAACTTCTAATACATCATCTGTAAAATGGTAATAATAATGCCTACTTACAAGAATGGGGAGAGGAGATAATGTCTATTTGGCGTATAGTATAGAGCGTGGAACATGATTACTGCCTCCTTCTCTCTGTCTGCACCTCGACAAACACCCACCGAAAGGAACAGGTATCACTGTTAATGTTAGTGCCAGTGGTAAACTACCTTCTGCCACAACAGGAAGGTTAGAATGAAACTGCCAAGAACTTCTGTAGCTGAACAGTGAATAATTCTCATCCTGGAAGATCGCCCTTGCTGAAACAACAGCAATAAATGTGTTACCTATAATAATGCCAATTAGCGGCAACATTCTGGGCGCTTTCTGGAGAGTTCATAGAAGTCTGTAATACCTTCTCAAAGACAGTTCTATCTGTCCAAATATATTATCATGAACTCTGTTTCTATGCCTTTTTCTTTTTTAACAAAATAGAAACAAGGAGATTGACCGGTTTGCTTCAATAGATATTACATGTTCAACAAAAGACCTCTGGGACGATTCACAGACGCAGTCTAGGTTTCATCCAAAGTCAAATTTAAACGCCAAATAATTTCTACTGTGAGCATCAGATCACAGAACCTAAATCCTGGAAATGTCTTGGCTATGTGATCAACCCACTAACTCTTTGCTGTTTAAATCCGGTTAATGGTACAATGGAAGGTAGAAAGGTGAACCGAGACTGATGAAATTGTTGATATACTGCAAAATCCCTGTTTCCCTCCAAAGATTTTCTCTAAGAGCAGCTGTGTGTTCCTGACAGCTGTGTGCTACTGGATCTCTGGGAGCTAGGCCTTTTAGCACCCCAGGCCTCCTAATCCTTCCCCTCAACCACCCTGGGCCTCTTTAAACTGATTCAAGTAACTGTGCTGTCAGCTTCATCTTCATGGCAGCCCAGATGACTTAATGGATTCATGATTAGACAGATCTGAGAGACCTGAGAGCTCTCGAAGCTTGGAAACAGGAGGGTGAAGGTTCAGTCAGACTAATGCTGTGCTTGGATTTGCTGCTGGTCATCTCTGTTGATTCTAGGTCACTCCTAGCTCTTGAGCATACATAAACATAAGCATGCAAAGACAAGCTTTCCTTTCACTGAAGAATGAACTTGTGAATAGACAGTGAAATTTTTTTGCACTAATGGCTGTGCAGATTACTATTTTCTGGTCTCTCATGTATAGAAACATTGAGAGTTCACTGAAGGTTGGGAATTAGTCTTTAACTTGTCACCTAAAAGTACATTATTCATTTCTACCATAATTTTGATGGTCATTTTACTGGTTTTCCAAAACAATGAGGATTAATAACGCACCTACTTCTGAAATATAATTTAAGACATTGACACTTCACTTCTATATTTTTAGTTTCTATTTTTTTTTACCTTTGACTAATTTTAATTCTAGATTATCTTTTTTTGTCCATTTGAATTTTGCCCCATAAAAAAATTTTCCTAGAAAATCAATATACAATGTGGACATCTGAATTACTGATATGAAGGTGATTGTTCTTTGAGGTAGTCATAAAATTTGGGAAGGAAGAGAGCCAGTCATACTGTTGCTTTGTCTTACAAGTTCACACATTTGTCTTTGATCAGGAGTCTACTTTTGTAGTTTGGCTTTAAATAACAATATTTTTCTCTCCAGAGTGAAGTTAACACATTCTTTAGTTACATTTTAATGAGTTATAACAAGTTGTAGACACTAATTTCAGAGCAGAATAGGGCTAATTTTCATTTACTTAATAATGCAGCAATAAATAAAATATTTCTGTCCTGCTACACAAAGACATACTTTGTTCTTTGAACTGCCCCAGCTCTTTAGAGATCTGAAATTTGAATCTAGATCTAGACATATAATTAGACACAGGAGAATCCTTTAAAATGAATATGAGTGCCTGCTCAGCGGGATACCACAAATTTTAATGTGCCAAGTATTTACTGATTGATTTTTTTATGTCCCATCTTTTTCTTCTCTGAATTTGAAGTGGTAAAAGACCTTATGGAAAGAATTTTCAGGAAGTTTTTGTCTAAGATATGCAAATAAAGAACAACTGCAAAATAGCTCACAAGCAGGTTGACAATATTAAAATTCAGTTCACATAAACATGCTAGGAAATGATTATTCAAGGGAATTTTCAGGGACTGTGTAAGCTCAGATAACTTTGGAAAGTCCAGAGTTATTTCTGTACTAAATGAGTTAAGCTTTAGTCCTTTCAGAGACTTTATATAGTGAGACCTTCATGTGATTAAGCTCTGTGCTAACCAAAGAAGGAGAAATGAAGGTCCCTGAATTATTGAAGAGTGTTTTAATATTGTTTTATTCAATGGGTGAATTCAAAGATGGGAAGTCACTCTTTAAATAACTTTGGCCATTTTCTGCCAAGAAGTTCCCTTTTGGGAATTGTAATCTCCTGATGGTCAGAATATACTTTATTCTTATTTGAGTTGTACAGAACATTTTGTGCTTTTTCTTTCCCAGGAGCTTGAACTACAATAATTCACTAAATCACAACTCTTACTGCTAAAATGTGACATTGTGCTTCTGGAGTAGAACACCAGCATATTGGTGCATAAGGTTTAATAGGACGTGTTTTGTGAGCTTAGCCTCTATTTGCGAGTTGGTCATCTATTTGTTACTTTCTCTGTCTCCTTGGTGCTTCTGCTTGTGATGTTTACTTTTCTTAAGTTATTTTTCTTTGCCCTAACCAAAGAGGTCTGAAGTATTCTGGGCATTTTTTTTTAAACATGGAATTACGGTTGGAAATGACCTTGAAGAATAAGTTATAGAGGAAACAAATCCAAACTCCTACAGGGCCAAGTGAATCAGAGAAAA